TTCTTTTTTTTTTTTTTGGTACCAGCGATCAAACTCGGGTCCTTGCTTGATTTCTTAAATAGTATACTGAACTTATCTTCCTTGTTAACCTGTTATTAGTTTAACATTACACATGCCATTTATTTGAATCTACTGAAAACATGGTTGTAAGTACAGAAGTTGGGGCTGAGTATGGTGGCACATGCCTGTAATCCCATCACTTGGGAGGCTGAGGCAGGAAGATTCAAGGCCAGCCTGAATTATATATCAAGACCTTGTCTCAAAAAACAAAAATAACAAAATTTGTAGAAGTATATGTAATACAACAGTCATATTGTGGTCCCCTCCCACAATGCTTTGAATTAGCCTTTAGGGAAGAAGACCCTGGTAACTTCAGCTTCTAAAACATTTTCTCCTAAAGTGAGTCTGACTGGGGTATTATTTATGTTGTCCTTTCCATGTATGGCCCTGTCAAATTCCATCGTAATACTCATTACTCATTTTTGAGACAGAGTCTCACTATGTAGTTCAGACTGTCCTTGAACTAACTATGTAGCCCAGGCTGCCCTCAGACTCATGGCAGTCCTGCTGCCTCAACCTCCTGAGTGTTGGCATTACAGGTGTGCAGCATGGGTTATTTTATCTTTTAATGTTAGTATAGCTATTTGTTGTTCTAACATTTTGGCTGGTTATGTATCCTAGAGGGCTTGTTTTGCCTTGTTCAGTTGTACTAGTGACCATATCTGGTGGAGCATAGTTGTGTGATTCCCTGTACCCTGCAGCTCTGCCTGCGTGGGTGGTAGAGGACTGTTTATCTATCTGCAGGGCCCAGATTGCTTTCAGTGAACATTGATTTAGTCACCTCAGCTCCTTGGTATTTGCCCTCTTTTGGGTCTCTTCCCTTCCTTGGGGCTTTCCTTTTCTTTCTTGTCATCTTTCTCCTCACTCACACTGTAGCATTTGGCTGAAAAGGCTGATCTTTTTACACATAAACATTGTCATTCAGTAAGTAGCCCTTACTCCCTAGAGACCAGGTTGCTAGTTAAATTGAAGATAAATTTCAGGTCTTGCAGTTTTTCTTTGATAGCACTCACAAAAATAATTTTCCAGCCTTTCCTCCTGCGTACTCCATCACCTGCTGGCTGTCTACCTTCTTCTCTCAGACGTTTCCACATCTGAAGCTATTTGGACATAGACTGTCCAGAAAGTGGGGGTTTCTGTTAGGATTTTTTCAGTTAATTTTAATCTATTAAGGTCATTAAACTCTGTGCTGTAGGGAAAAGTTAATTCTCAGTGGGTTGATTTAAACATTTATGGTCTTAGGGAATTTGTTAAATCTTACAAACATGCTGTTTCCAGGATTCAGTTAAAATTATTTAATTCTTTTGGTGCTGGGAATGAAATTCTCAGCCTTATGCTTACTAAGCACATGGTCTATCATTGAGCTAAACTCCCAAGTTTTGTAAATCTGTAAGTGAGATGAAAAAGTCAACTAAAAAATTGTTTATTTTCTGACAAAATTTTCTGACTTGCTGTTTCTCAATAATATGGTACAATTTTATCTTTGATTTTTAAAAAATAAAACAAAGGATTCAATTGGATTGAATGTATAAAGTGTATGTTTTGAGGTAGGGTTTCACTGTGTTGCCCAGGCTTGGCTTAAGTTCCTGAAGTGATCTTCCTACCTCAGACTCCTCTGAGTAGCTGAGCTTTTAGGCGTATGCCACCTTGCCCAACCTTTTGAATTTTTTTATATAGTTGGATGCACTGGCGTTTGGTGCATATATATTTATGATTGTTATCTCTTCCTCTTGGATTGTTCCCTTAACAAGTATGTAGTGACCTTCTTTGTCTTTCCTGATCACCTTGTCTCTCCTAATTAGTCTTGCCTTGAAATCCACTTTGTCTGAAAATAGAATAGCTACCCCTGCTTTTTTCCAGATTCCTATTTAATTGCTTGCCTTGTCTGGTGGATTCATTCTATTGGGATTCGTGGAATTTTTGTCTGTTATATTTTTCTAGAATATCCTTCAGAACTTTTTAGAGTGCTGGTTTTGGTGGTCATGATTTTCTTCAAATATTCTTTATCATGGAAGTATCTTATGTCTTTATTAATTTTGAAAGAATTTTGTGGGGTACATCAATCTGGATTGGAAGTTGTTTTCTTTCAGGGCTTAAAATACTTCACTCCTTTCTCTCCTTGACTTAAGGGTTTTGAGAAGTCTGCTGTGATTCTGATGGGTTTATCTTTATAAGTGATTTGTTTCTTTTCTTGAACAACTCTTAATAGTCTTGTTCTTGTGTTGAATTTCTGGAATTTTGACTAACATATGTCTTGGTGTAGTTCTTTTTGATTATGGCTAATTGGGGTTCTATGTGCCTCACTTATCTATATGTCAAATTAGTTTTCCATGTTTGGGAAGTTTTCTGCTTTTACTTCTGTGAACAGGTTTTTTTATGTCCTTTCTGCTATATTCTGATTTTTCATTGATTCTAGTTAATCTTATGTTATTCTTTGCATCATCTAGCAGCTGTTGGATTGATTTTTTGTGATCCTTTGCTATTTTTAAGAAGTGTTTTTAGCTCAGTGGTACCGCTGCCTGCCTCACAACTGCAAGGTCCTGAGTTCAATCTCTGGTGCCAAAAAAAAAAAAGTGTTTCATTTGATGATCGCTAACTGAAACCCTTAGATCTGATTTTCTGTCATTACATTGGTTGGTTCTATTTTGTATACTTTTAATTTTGTGGCTATGTGAATCTATTTCATGGAATCCAGTTCTTTCCTATGTTGGGCATTCATGGTTTCCATCACGTTCCTGAGCTTCTCTATTTTTTTTGTTTTAACCTGTACTGTAGATTCACTATGTCCTTCATTATGGTCATCATCTTTTTTGCTGTGTGATTATTTCTGATTTGTTTTTTTCTAGGGACTCATTCATCTTTGTTATATCTATTACTACCTTTTCAGAAAGTTCAGCTGGGTAGGTTTTTTTTTTTTTTTTTGCTACTGGGGATCCAACTCAGGACCTTGTGCTTTTGAGGCAGCCGGCAGAACCGCTGAGCTAAATCCCCGGCCCTGGGTAGCTTTAGATTTCTTCCACCTCAGTGTCTCCTGGGTTGGCTTGGCTGAGCTGGAGGTCTGAGGTTTCATCTTGCTTCCATGTTTTCCATTTTCTATTTTTAAAATTTTTTTCTGCATTGATGCTTATAAATTGCTTATGCAAGGTAGCTTTATTACTAGTATCAAGACTTTAGAAAATGATTACTTTTCAGAGATGTCTTCTAGGTTTAACTGACTTTTGGCTTTTGAGTCTGTCCCAAGATCCTGCCTCTTCAATTTATTAGGGATGAGAAGTTGTTGCCTGTTTTGCCTAACACTCAGTTCTTTGGTGCTGTACTATGGTATTGTTTATGATGCCCAGACAATCTTGGTGTTGGCATTTAAGGAAGAACAACTGGTCACAACAATATCACCTTGGCTGAAGTGAACAATTAGCTATAACATTACCATGAAGCACAGTCTAGAAAACCACAGGTATCTTTAACCAGAGGCACAAGATTCATAGTTATGTAACAAAATCTAATACAAATCAGAAAATTATATACAATAAATATATAGAGTGATTTTATCCTCCATGGAGAAAATTTTAAAGGGATAAGAGCTGGGTGTGGTGGCGCTCAGGAGGTGAGACAGGAGGATCGCCATGAGTTCCAGGCCAGCCTGGGCTACATAGTGAGTTCAAGGCCAGCCTGAACGACATAGTGAGACCCTGTCTCAAAAACAAAACAAAACAAAACAAAAACAAATAAAAGGGATATGAGGAGAAAGTAGGGAAATAAATGAAAAGGAAGAGATTAGAAGCAAGGCTGAGGGGCAAAGAAAGATTAGCCAAGCTTTGGGAAACTGGTGAAGAAGACAGAAGGAAAAGAAAGAAGGAAAACAAAAACAAGAACAAAACAAAACTGAAAACAATGTTCACGCTTATGAAAAAACACAAACAATTAAGAAAAACAAAAGCAAGCAATAGAGAGATTTCTCTGTAATTTTAAGCCTGTGGCTATCGTTTAGGGTATACAGTTTTGTGGTGATGTCCATTTCTGGGGATGTCTCTGCTATCCTGGTAAACAAGGCAGTCAGAACCCTGATCCCTGCTGGATGATCCCAGCAAGCCTCCAGTAGGATTGGAGCAGGACCCTGATTGTTAGTGTTTTCTTTTGTTTATTTGTTTGGGTTTTTGTTTTTTTTTTTTTTTTTGGTAGGGATCGAACTCAGGACCTTGTGCTTGCAAGGCAGGTGGTGTGGCACCACTGAGCCAAATCCCTGGCCCTGATTTTGAGTGTTTTCAACTCCACAGAAGTTCAGGCTAATTGTGGCCTCTGGTTGTGGGGGTTGGGGCCTGAGTTCTTCAGGCTACAACACTCTTGAGTGTCTCTTGCCATCTTGACCTCAGTTCCCTGACTCTGGATGTCTTCTGTGGTTGGCCCTCACCCAGTCACTGTGGAATTTCAATACTAGGAGCCCTGAGATGAAGCCAACCCAAGGCTGTTCTGAGTCCCAGGTTCAGTTGGCCCCTCCCTAAAATGGCATCTGGCCAAACACTCTCCAAGGGATACGGTAGTGGCTTGGACTGAGAGTCACTCACCAGGTGTTGTAGCACACAGCATCCACCGCTGTGTTCCACTGGTGCATTTCTCCCTAGAGTTCTCTGGAGGTCATCCACCCTCACTGTGTCACTGGAGATTCAATCCTCTTCTCTCATGCTGTGAGCCTGGATCTTTGGAAAAGTGCAGTTTGCCCCTTCCTTTTTCTGCATTGAGTCCTGTCTCTTCACTTTTTCTCTGTGGGCTCCAGTTTTCCCTTCTGATCCTTCCTGGGTCCCAAGGATCCACCCTTTTCTGAATTTTATGTCACTGTAAATGCCTTGAACAAATAATAATTTGGAGGAGGACTTCTGTTCTTGTTTTCTTGGGGAGGACTTTTATAAAAAGTACTATGTCTTTTTTTCTTCTGTTTCATAAAGGTTGCTGTTGAAGAAATCTGGTTGCAGAACACCACGGATTGAGTTAGAAGAGATGGGACCTTCATTGGATATGGTTCTGAGGAGAACACATCTGGCCTCAGATGACCTTTATAAGTTATCTATGAAAATGCCAAAAGCTCTCAAGGTACATGGCCTGTGGCTTGGTGCCATATTTAAAAGGCATACATAGAGATCAATAGAATAGATGAAACTAAACTCTCAGAATCAGAAAAGGAGAAGGAACCAAATAAATCAACTATACAGGGTAATAAACAGGCATCAGGTTTGGTGATACCTTCCTGGTTTCCAAGGTTGCTGTTTTCAGCAAAAAAATTGTTTTGGGCATTGTGACGACTGGAGATTTAGGGCACAAGGTGTATAAACCAAATGTGCATAAATCACATTTTGATTTTTTGTTTGGCTTTTTGAGCTGCCTCACTATGTAAACCAAGCTGCCTTTGAACTCCCTATCTTCCTGCCTCAGCCTCCTGAGTGCTGGAATTGATATAGAGGAAAAAATGTAACTCCCAACCTGCTAGATGTCAGAAATGGCCAGTTCGTGGAATACGAATAGCTCCTGAGAGACAGGAAGGGTCCCAAGTGCATTGTCAATGAGCCTGTTTCTCTGAGAAAGTTAGCAAATTCACAAGGTGGGTACAACATGGGTCAAAACTACAGTCAACCAATAAGATGACAAGTATAGCCGCTTGGCTAATATTGATCCAATAGTAGCAAAGGGATATTGATGACATTATTAACCTTGGTTGATAATCTATAGTCTTGGTTTTATTTTTAGTCTTAGTAGTTTTAGTCTTGGTGGGAGAGGATGGCCCACCCCTAATGAGATAATGGTTTATTTATATGGGATATCGCAAAAAGGTGGTACCAATAATCTCAAGCTTCCATTTATCCCTTAGGGAAGTATGTAAATCTGGCCATTGTGTCCAGTATGGTGGCACACAGCTGTAATCCCAGCACTCAGGGAAGCTGTGAGGCAGGAGGAGTCCTGAGAGTTGGAGGCTAGCCTGGGCTGGATAGTAAGTTCAAGGCTAGGCTGAACTACTTAGGGAGACCCTGTCTCAAAAAAAAAAAAAAAAAAATCTAGCCATTGTGTCTTTAATCTTTTTCAGATGTGCCTCTAGCCACAGTTTTGGTGTGTTCTCATCTGCACTGACTCCCTCGAGGCCCAGCCATATCTTAACTGCCTGTAATATTTCTACTAATTTAGCTATTATAGGATTATAGGTGTGTACCACCACATTGGGCCATATTTTGATGTTCTTTTGTGTGTGGTACTTAGGATTGAACCTAGGGCCTTCACACTAATTTTGAGGCTGAGTTGCCTAGGCTGGACTTGGACTTGTTAGTTCTATTGCCTCAGCATCCCTCAGTGCTGGGATTATAGGCTTGAGCCAACTCTCCTGGCATGTTTTGACTTTTGAGTGGTTTTAAAATTTAAACAAGTAAAATGTTAACTCTGGAATGCTACTAGAGATTGAAATTATAGTCACGATTTTTAAGCTTACACAAGAGGAAATTCTCTTGATGCGGGACATTGGTTAGTGTAGCCTTCATCTTTCTTCTCACAATTGATCTGGGAATTGTTGGAAACAGAATATGAGGCCTACACTGAATTAGAATCCCCACTTAACAAGATCCCCAGGAGATGTGTATACACTTTGTCTTTGAGGAGAGTCCTCACTAATGGTGAGAGTTATACGTTAGACTTTTTTACTAGTTCACAATACTAGACACACGTTTAAAAATATGTGTGTATAAAAACATTAACACTCCACCCTTATTTTATAGCCAAAGAAGAAGAAAAATATGTCTCATGATACTTTTGGTACAACTTATGGAAGGATTCATATGCAGAAACAAGACCTAAGCAAACTACAAACAAGGAAAATGAAGGGATTGAAGAAGCGACCTGCAGAGAGGATAACAGACGACCAGGAGAAAAAGTCAAAGAGAATTAAAAAAAATTAATGGAACTTAGCCAACAACTAGAGTTTTATTGTAATCTATTTACTTTGGGAATCATCAAGCTTCAATACAATTCAATTTCTGTTTTTGTTTTTGTTTTTGTTTTTTCCGGTACCAGGGATTGAACTCAGGACCTTGTGCTTGCCAGACAGGAGCTACATCCCTGGCCCTAATACAATTCAGTTTCTTAAAAGTTTTCATTGTATATTTTTATAACACAATAACTTTACTATTATTGTGAGCAGTAATGTACCAGTTTTTAAAGAAGCTAATTACTTGCTCTGTCAGATCCTGGTGTGCCATTTTCTCACTGATGTAATATCCCTGCCCTCCCAAGATTCCTCCCTTGCTGGGTGAGTGAGGGAGGAGAACCTCTACAGCCGTTGGTGTTTTCATAAAGTTTTTGGGCGGTTAGTGATTAGATAAAGGGAGAAAGCCAGGCAGAGAAGAAGTGACTCAGGAGCCACATACATGCTCTGTGAGCCACCTGGAAGGTTACCCTTCATCTTCCAGTATGTATGTACATCCAGCTTTTCTTCTTTACTTCTCCATTATTTTGCCTGAAGTCCTACCAGTTAAGAGGATTGAGTCCTACCAGTTAAGATTGGGATGGAACTCAGCATAGAGTACTTGCCTAGTATGTGCAAGGCCCTAGGTTCCATCCCCACTCCTCCAGCCCCCTCGAAAGAGAGATTCTGCTGTAAGTGCAGCCTCACTGGCCTCTGAGAGAAAGGAATCTTTGATGTGGTAGAAATAAGAAAATAGGTAAGTTTTAAGGCACAGGGCACTTTAAGGAACTAGCTGGCCCTCAATAGCCAAAGATTGCATGAAGGGCCTCAGTGTAGGAGTAAGCCAGAGCCTAACCCTGTTTTGGAAGTTTCGTAAAGACCATCCCTCTGCCTGGGGGAAATGGGAAGACAATCTACCCTCTTCTGTTAGTGTCACACACTTGTTTTTCCAGGTAGTAAGTTTAGGTTCCTTGATTGAGTTGTAGGAAAGAAGCAGTGCACAATTCCATGTCCAACCTTCATGCCTGTGCATGCAGGCGCTTTGAGCTCGCTCAGCTGCTGGCCATCAGATCATATATATGTTATCTCTGATGATAGTCTGCTGAGGAGTGTAGCAAAAGCTGGAGCCTGTTTACCTTCTCTGCCCTCTCCCTTCTCATGAACACATTCTCTTGCCTGCTTCTCCCTGTTCCTTTCCAGGTGGGGACTATGCTCCCCAGGAAAATAAAGGTGCTGATAGGCCTCAGACATACTTTTTATGTCTTTTAATTTTTTGGTGCCGGGGATTGAACTCAGGACCTTGCGTTTGCGAGGCAGGCGGCAGCACCACTGAGCTAAATCCCCGGCCCTCATACATACTTTTTAAATTTTTATATATTTTGTCAACTAAACAGCTTTCTTTGTGAAGCAGTTTTCATTTTAAGTATATGTGAGGGGAAAGAGCTAAAATATTTTATTTTCTGCTATCTACTAGTGGATGGATAATAGGGAGAAGGGAAGCTATGAAAAGGGTGTCGATGCACAGTCCTGCCTGCTTCACTTGACTGACCCAGCCAGTGCCAGTGGAGGCCATGATGAAGGAGCAGATCAGTGGGTCCTTCCCAACCAAGTCTGCCCTCTGACACCCCCATCGGGGAAGGCCTGCTGTAGCACCTGATGGTAATTTAAGCCAGTCTCAACACACATATAACTGTTCTGTAGGTGCAATGTTGTCTCAAGGGTGTTTTAGACAATAGTTCTCTTGTTTGTTTTATATTATTTTTTTGTGATCCTCACTGTGTAATTCAGACTGCCCTGGAGCTGAATGTAGCCCATGCTGGCCTTGTACTCTAAGACCCTCAAGCTCTGGCTTTGCAGGTAAGTGTCACCATGTCTGGCTTCATATGTCTTTCTTTTCTCCTTGTTCTAGGGATTGAACCCAGGGCCTTTGCACTGAGGTATTTCCAGCCCTTTTTTACTTTTTGAAACAGGGTCTCAGTCACTAAATTTCCCAGGCTAGGGTTGAACTTTTGATCTGCCTGCTTCAGCCTCCTGGAGTGCTGAGTTTACAGGCTTGTGCCACCAAGCCTGGCTCATATGTAGTTTTAAAATATGATAGTGATACAGGGATGATACAGGAGATAAAATAGGCCCTCCAAATGATATAAGGGAAATATTCCCAATCTGTTAGATGTCTGGTATACCGAGTTTGTGTTCTCCAAAATCAAATTCCAGGAACGATGGAGGTTAAGAATAGGAAATGTTAGGGCTGGGGATTTAGCTCAGTGGTTCTGGTGCCTGCCTTGCAAGTGCAAGGTCCTGAGTTCAATCCCCGGTACCAAAAAAAAAAAAATAGGAAATGTTGGGCCCGGGATTTAGTTCAGTGGCGCTGCACCTGCCTGGCAAGTGCAAGGTCCTGAGTTTGAGCCCTGGTACAAAAAAAAAAGGAAATGTTTATTGAGAGATGTAGCTCCTGAGGCAGGAGAGGTCCCAAGTGGGTGGCTGAGGACCCCACTTTTCAGGGAAATTTTTTTTTTTTTTTTGGTAACAGGGATTGAACTCGGTTCCTTGTGCTTGCAAGGCAGGTGGCGGAACCACTGAGCTAAATCCCCGGCCCTCAGGGGAAGTTTTATAGAGCAAAAACCATGTGGGTTAAAGCTATGAACAACTAATAAGGTTACAAGTATAGTTGCTTAGGTAATAGTGGTCCAATGGGGAAACAAGTCATGTAATGTGTACATGGAAAAAACAAAAGCTTTTTCTAGGAGATGATGGGTCTGGAGGTCTTGGCCACCCACTGGGGTGACTGATGTCTATCTAGACTTCATTAGGCCAGGTGTTACTGCTTGTCTTGTCCTTTGGGGAAGTATGCAGGCCTGATCATTCCATTTTGAGGCTTGGTCTCCAACAGATGCGTCTCTGGCCACAGTTGTAATGTGTTTTCATCTTTTGTGCTGACTCTTGGCCCAGCCTTATCTGACTGCCTATAATATTTCTACTTAGCTGTCTGAAATAACGGAAAGAGACGTCTGAGGTGCTCCAGGATGTGTAGCATGCTCACTCAGTAGTCCTTCAATCAACATACCTCCTCCCTAGGTTAGATGGGGCTCTGAAAAATCTTGCTCATCCAGGAAGATACAAAGATGAGGCCCCTTCCAGTGTTTTCAGCAATGCAACCACCATGAGAACCCCAATCCTGAGACAGTGGAGAGAACCAGTCTCTAGGTCATACCAGAAAAAGCAGTCTCCAAAAGTGTGCATGCATGTGGGTCTTAAACAGTTAAGCCTGAGGAAAGTCCTTAATCTCGATCTCTCAAAACCAAAAGGCATAAGCTCTGTCCCCCTGATGTCACATCTTCCCTTTTAGGGTGGCTGGGAACACATCCTAAGCCATGCAGATTTGAGTGCACATCCTGGGGCTGACAGTACCCAGGAAACTTGTTCAACTCTTATGGACTCAGACCAAGAAGGAGCCCAGTGGTGTTTATTTTTTTCTTCCTCCTTCCCCTAAGAGATCACCTTCTCCCTTTTCTCCCAGTCAGGCTTTCGTCTGTCAGAAAATTCAAGTCATTTTGATAGAGGAGAAATATAATTTTTAATTTGCTAGGTGTCAGATTTGTCAAATTTCCATCCCCCCAAATTGAAAAATGAATTTTAAGGAACAGATTAAGAGTAGGAAGTATTTATTGAGAGCTCTTGAGAGACAGGAGAGGTTTTGGAAGTGGGCTGTCACCACAGCCTTTTTTTTTGGTATTGGGGATTGAACTCAGGACCTTGCGCTTGCAAGGCAGGCAGAGGCAGGTGCAGTGCCACTGAGCTAAATCCCTGGCACCACCAGTCTTTTAAGACAGGGTCTCACTGTAGTTTAGGCTGGCCTTTAACTCACTAGCCTAGGCTGGCCTCAAACTTGTGGCAATCCTGCCTCTGCCTCCTGAGTGCTGGGATTACAGGTGTGCACCACACCTGGCTCCAAGGTCACTCTTTAAAGAATGTTTTATCACAAGGTGGATTAAAATTATGAGGTTAGTACAACGTGGTTTAAACTATAATTAACCAATAAGATTATGTGCATAGTCACTTAACTAATATTGAGCAAATAGGGAATTGGGACGTGTAGCAAGGGTACATGGAAAGAACAAAGGCATTTTTGGAATGGGATGAGTCTAGATGCTCTGGTCACCCATTAGGGTGACTGATGTTTATTTGGACTTTATTGGACCAGGTGATACCAATTACAGTGTAATTTTAAGTTATTTTATCTTAGGTATGTAGGTCTGGCCACTTTATTTTGAGGCCTGACCTTTGGCAGATGTGCCTCTTGGCACAGTTTTGATGTGTTTATTTTTTTGTTTTTGTTGACTTTTTTGAGAACCCAGTCTTTTTTGACTGTATATTAATCTTTTTTTTTTTTAGAAAGGATCTTGCTATGTAGTTCAGTCTGGCCTTGAACTCATGGCAATCCTCCTGCCTCAGGCTCCCGAGTGCTGAGATCACAGGTATATGGCACCACTCCTGGCAACTATATATTAATTTTTATCTTTTTATATTAATTTTTTATATTTTTCCCTCTGAAGAGCTATCTCTAATTTAGTTAGGGGAGAATGGGTATAGTTTTAATCTAGCTGTTTTGAGCTGAGGAGGGTCAGTGTAGAGGAGACCTGAGTCAGGGGCCTTCTCCAGAGAGTGAATCTAATGGGCCTCAGAAGTCTTGTTGGGGGTTAGCAGTTATGAACTCCTTTTATAATGTCAATCTAGTGGATCCCGGTAAAAGGAGCCCGGCACATTTGTCATTGGTTTTACCTGCATGATCACCTGGAGTTTGGCAGCCTTTAAGAAAGAATAAACACATTTTTAAAAAGAGATTAAAGCACATAACAATCAGCATGAGCATTAGAATAGAAAGGCAGATGGAGGAAAAGAGCCATAACCAAACTCCTTTTAAGGGACTAGAATAGCAATTGTAACCAACTGGCTCTTAGACTCCTTTATTTTTATTTTTCTCTTAGACCCCTTTATTGATGGAGGTTATCTATAAGTTTGATATATTTTGTCACAAGTCTCTCTAGTTTTGGCTGTGAGAAGATGGAGAGTTTGGTGGTTTTGAAGGACAATTTTAGGTAAGGAATTTAAAGACTTGTCAGGCTTTTATAGCTTCCACCGTAGCCTTTGGCCTTATTGAACCGTAACAGTGGTCAGCTACAGGTGTAGCTGGAAACTGTTAGCAGGGGTCAGTGATTGGAGCCCCCTTTTTATATCTAGCCTTTATTATGGTATTTTTATCTGTTTTATAAAAGATTCTG